TCTTCTTCTTCTTCTTCTTCTTCTTCTTCTTCTTCTTCTTCTTCTTCTTCTTCTTCTTCTTCTTCTTCTTCTTCTTCTTCTTCTTCTTCTTCTTCTTCTTCTGGGGGGGGAGAAGGGGTCAAAATACCTCCTGGAAGCAAACACACACCCCCTTTCCTCCCAATCTCTCTCCCTTCTTGACACCTTTGAACCTATCTCTGCAGCTGAAGGTAAACACTGAAGAGCTTTAATCGCCCGTTCCCACCCAAGTCCCTTCCTGCTAGGATGTAACCCAGGGCGGCAAAGCCCCGAAGAAGAGCAGAGAGGACGCGTCTGAACAGAGTAAAGGAGATGTCACTCAGAGGAGGCCAGGGGTGCCAACTCCGGGTTGGGAGATTCCTGGAGATTTGGGGAATTGGCACTCAGGGAGGGCATGGTTTGAGGAAGGGGGGGGGATGTCAGCAGGGTACAATGCCATACAGTCCACCCTCCAAAGCAGCCATTTTGGTGTCATGGTGAGGAGCGCAGACTCTAATCTGGGAGATCCGGGTTTGATTCCCCACCCCTCCGCATGCAGCCAGCTGGGTGACCTTGGGGCAGTCACAGTTCTCTCAGAGCTGTTCTCTCAGGAGCTGTTCTCGAAAGAGCTCTCTCAGCCCCACCTACTTTACAGGGCGTCTGTTGTGGGGAGGGGGAGGGAAAGGAGGTTTTAAACCTTTGGGTAGTGAGGGGCGGAGTATAAATCCAATCACCTCCTCCTCCTCCTCCTCCTTCTCTGTCTCCTCTGTCTCTTTGAAGTAAACTGATAGATTACAGGGAAATTGCCTTCCTTCCTTCCGTTGTGGGGAGAGGATGGGAAAGGAGATTGTAAATCACTCTGAGACTCCAAGAGGGCGGGGTATAAATACAACCGCTCCTCTTCTTCCTCCCCCTCCTCTTCTTCCTCCTCCTCCTCTTCTTCCTTTTTATCAACCTTAGTTAAAGTGAAACTTCTCTCCCTCCCCCCACACCTCTCGAAGGTGTGAATCGCAACAAAGATCCAATTTCGAGAAGGTAATATACTGTTTAGGAGCTGCGGTGGCTCAAGTGGTTAAGACACTGAACTGCAGGCTGTGGAAGGTCAGTAGTTCAGCGGTTCAAGACCCGGGTGCCGCAAGACGGGGTGAGCTCCCATCTCTAGTTCCAGCTCCTGCCAACCTAGCAGTTCGAAAGCAAGAAATTGCAAGTAGATAAATAGG